CAAATAACCCGCAATCAGCGCTCCAAAGGCGCCACCTATGGCGTAGATAGAAATAGTTGTTGACCAAAGCCATCTTAAATTATCATCTGTCAAGTATTCTCCTCCTTTTCTTTCATAATACGATTGATTGTAGAATTCTTCCATAAACTATAACATCAAATCAAGTCAAATTTAATGAAGCATATGCTACGCTATATGTAGACACAGATACCAGAACTTCAGATATTGTGTGTTAACTATAGGTTTTCCCAGTAATGTATTATTATCTTTAACTTATTGAAGTAATAACAGGCCTACAGTAAAGTAACTACAACACATCAACTAAACTGAGTAACAATTAGTGCGTACAAAAATAGCAAACAAAAAGCACATCCGTAGATAGTAAAACATATCATTATCTAAATTAGTATTTTAACAACTCTTTAAATACAAAATAATTCTTAATTAACCTAAGACAAAATCATTGCTAATGAGTTCAATCATTTTTTTCAAATCATACATGTCCATTTCTGATGACCTTGACATTAATCTACTTTATGATGTGCAAGGTCTATTGAACCACGTCTGTGCAAACTCAAAACGTGCCCCAATGAAATGTTAACATCAATTAATAAACTGAAATTAAGTAAGTTCCATGGCCCTGACGGTATCGGAGTAAGGTGCCAAAATGACTACCAAAGGCATTGGTAGTCAAGACGGTAAACATTAATGAATTATAATTGTTATAATATCCGTATGGGTGGACACAATTTATGTACAGCAGAGCTTTTGAAAGCATAAAAAAGCAGAGTAATATCAAATCTGGCTAACTGAGTACAGCATAATATACCTAGATATATGACATGTGTTGTTTGTGATATATGACATGTGTTGTATGAAGAATATATTCGTTTTTCACAGACACAAATTACGAGTGCTTCGGACATACTCGGACACAGCTGTTAACTTAAAATTTTACAATTAAAAATTATCAGAAAAAAAAATCACTGTCAATTAACAGACAGTGATCCATTGGTAGCGCCAGTGGGTGCGGGCGGAGCAAGGTGGACTAGGTCGTCGCATCAAAAATTTAAACAAATAATAACTTGCCTATCTAAATAACGTTATTTTGATTGCCAATCCCTATATTGTGGTCTAATAGCACATTTTGGGTCATACTAAGCCATAAAAACTCTCTCTGTGAACCCCTACAGGGGATCCGCTTTTATTATTGGCCGTCGACCGAGGCTTCGTCGACCCCTTGGCTCAAACCCCTCCGTCCGACGTGTCGGACCCCTTTTGGGCAAATTTCTGGCGCCACCGGTGCAGTAAGCGTTGTGTATGACTCATTGACTGGAAATAATTAAGAATGTTTTGTAGAACCGTCTGTGAATCAGTGAAAACTATTTTTGCTTTTGATCTGCTTTTGATCGTTTTAAATGAGCTATATTTTTTTTAAAGTGGGAGTCAGCCTTTAATAAACAGTACAAGTACGTCGTATCGGCCAGTGTATATAATATCGTCAGATTTGTGGTAAAATTAATGTTTATATTAAATGCTTGTTATCTTTTATTCATGTTTGTGAAAAATCAACATTAAAACAATACATAGAATTGTCTTAATATGTGTCCCAGAATTTTTAAAAGTTTATATCCTTTAGAATCAGTAGAAGGCCTACTATAGCAGTTAGTATGTATGCTATACGGTGTCTTTACACTACACTACTACTACGGAAATACCCGACCAGATTCAACGCTACTTTTTATACTTTCAAAGGCCATACGTAAATAGTGACTACCAAAGATTTTGGCCTACCCAGCTAAATACGTCGTAGCTTTTATACCCTTTCATCATCAAACAGCGACCATTGCATTCGCGACTCAGCCAGGGAAAAGTCAATCATGCATATTCATGTCATCATTTCACCCATGATTCACCAAATTACTGTATGTGGTAAAAAGTAATGCGTCCCCCACGTATCGATGCAATCTTTTTGGATTTTTTAAAGAGTTTGATAGAGTAGATTATAAGTTATTAGAATAGAATAGAATAAATGTTAGAATAGAATAAAAAACTAAGTTATTACTTAGTAAACTCTATAATTGTGGTATCCAGGGCAACATTAGCGTCATTACTCGTTGGCCATAGTCAAGCAGTTAAGTATAAAGGGGAGATTTCAAGTTGTATTCAAGTTTCTTCTGAGTTCTGCAGGGATCAGTCCTGGGGCCTTTGTTGTGTAATTTGTATTTGACTTGTCAGTCTATATCTCATCATGCATTTCTCAATACGCTGACATCCTTCTCTATCAGGATGTGACGATGAGATTTGTTTACAAAATAATCTCAAAAATGGCTGTTCTTGGTGCAACTTATGAATGAATGTAAGTATGTCTTCTAGGTTTAGAGAAAATTCGCTAGCATATTTCTTATTAAATAATGCATTACCAAGAGTATCGTCCATAAAATATCTTGGTCTAATAATCAATAGTAAATTGGAATGGGACGAGCAGATTCAGAATGCTACATCTAAGGCCTGTGGTTTCAAAGGGGTCAAGTGCAGGTATTAAAACATGTTCAAATAAAGTTGACAAGTCATGCTTTCATTATCAAAAGTTATACACAAAGACTTGATAAGCTTAACATTATGTCAATTGAAAATCGTTTGCAATATATTCTTATCATTTTATCTCAAAATGTTTTCATGGTAATTTTAACCTTAACATTTAAAAATTCCTATCATTAACGGCCGTCACCATAAGAACCTTCTTTTTAAACATGCCTTTGCTAGGACGAATGCGTTAATTTATTTTTTGTACAATTATTTCCCTAGGGTATGGTGCAATCTCCCTGTTGATCTTCGCAATGAACTGCTTTGAACAGTTTTATAAGCTTAAGTCTTTTTACCTCCGTAACTGACTGTTTGCTGCTTATTTTTATATAAATGATTGACGTTCTTACAGTTTTCTGATTTGTTTTAAGATTGTGTTGCCTTTTTAACAGCTTTAATTATGTTATGTTATTTGATTTGTATTTATAGATTTTTACTGTTTTTTTGTGAATACTTTTATATTTTTGTTTCAACTATTTAAGCAGTTTTGTATTTTAGTTTGTTGTTGGGCTATGAGGAGAGCCTCCCGATGGCAAGTATTCTTGCATTTGGGCAATCCTGCCACATAGACCCTAATGTTTTTATATTTGGCGAAATAAGTGATATGATATGATATATTAATAACTACCACTACCAATACTACTATACCACCACCACCGCCACCGCCACCACCACCACCATTACCACCACCATCACTACTACTACTGCTAGGCCTACTAAATACTACTACTACTACCACTGCTACTACTACTACTACTACTACTACTACTACTACTACTACTACTACTACTACTACTACTACTACTACTACTACTACTACTACTACTACTACTACTACTACTACTACTACTACTACTACTACTACTACTACTACTACTACTACTACTACTACTACTACTACTACTACTACTACTACTACTACTACTACTACTACTACTACTACTACTACTACTACTACTACTACTACTACTACTACTACTACTACTACTACTACTACTACTACTACTACTACTACTACTACTACTACTACTACTACTACTACTACTACTACTACTACTACTACTACTACTACTACTACTACTACTACTACTACTACTACTACTACTACTACTACTACTACTACTACTACTACTACTACTACTACTACTACTACTACTACTACTACTACTACTACTACTACTACTACTACTACTACTACTACTAAATTATAATATGACTAGAAGTTATTTCTTTGTGTTTTTATTTCGGCAATTACCACAGAAACTCCTGTCAGGACACCGGTATTGTAACCAAACTGAAAGGAAGATCCCATACAGACAGCGAATGTTGACAACAAAAGCCAGATCGTCAGATTACCCTGTGTTAAAAAAAACAAAACAAACAAGCCAATCAGATAAATATTTTAAAATGCATGTCTGTAATGTTATTAATTATCTTGTGAGAACTTAGCAATTGCACGTACTCACACTTCTTAACCAACCACTCTCACCAAAACTCAACTTGTTGGTCATGTTATTTACTTTTTAATAATAAAAATTAAAAAAAATATCTTCTAATCCTTGACGCGTTCTATTTTAAAATTGATTAATTTGATAAAAACAAAACAGCAAGAATCGAAATGCTTTTTATAAGCTACGAGACACCAGCTTGACTCAATAATCCAGGCAGACGTTTGCAAAAAGAAGTGAAGATCAACAAGGCTGTGGACCCACATCAAATTAGCAACGGCGTACTCATACAGTGATCTCACGCCATTACTAATATTTATTTACATAAAATAGGAAAGATTCAGGAAATTTCGAAAACATCATCGATTAGGAAATCTGCAGCCACCCTAATAGAACTACAGTAGAACCTTCGGGACCAAATATAGTGTCACCTTAATAGGGTGTCCCTAAATAGGGGTACACTAACAAAAAACATAAAAGTGTCACCTTATTAGGGGTTTTTGGGATGTTTTCATTTAACGATGACATACATTCCTTATATTATTATTTTAATTGACATAAGAATCAGTTGGAGTAGATTTATAGCAATAATTTGCAATGCAAATGCAATTTCATTTATAAAATGAAATCAGCAAAAACGTAATTGAAGCAACAATAGTTTTATATTTTCAATATTGTTTCATTAAGCAATGTTAATGAATAATATTCTTTTATTTTAATATTGAGCTTTCTTTTAAATAATAAAATAATTTCATATGGTTTCAAATGGTATAATGTGATTAATATGTATGTAATGTGTATGTGAAATGTCCTGAAAAAGTAAATAAATACTCGTTTATTTACAACTAACAACAATCCCCTTAAAGCTTTCTATTAAATTTATGTAGCAAAATAGAGCAATATGTTTTGATATAAATTTGAATCCTACATGAAATACACTAAAAACAAAGAAAAAGAAATTCCTATTGTTAAGATTCAAAATCAACAAGATTGATTTAAGAAGTAACACATGCAGTAGGCCTATACTGATATTTGCTCGTGAATTAAGGGGACAACATTTTGGTTTATTGCTCAAAAGTATCAAAATATATAGTTGAAAGAATCTTTCTTATTGTTAGTGAGTGCTGTATACAATAACAGAAATTAAGTGTCCCCTTAAAAGGGGTCATTTGACAATTTGGCACAATCAGAAAATGTCCACATCCCCTTAATAGGGGTGTCCCTTTAATAAGAGTTGGCTGTAGTGTTGACAGATGTATTGCCCTTTGTTTCACGGAAAAATGTCCCCTTAATAGGGGGTGTCTCACAGGAGGAGTTCTACTGTATAATGTCTTGATTTTGGAGATAATTATCACTCACAATGAAAAACCGAACACTAGGCCTATAAGATCTTTTTTCATTGATTTTTCTAGACGCAAATGTCCCGGAAAGCCGCCCACAGCTCGAAGTCAAAAAGTGGAACCTTTAAATTTATATTTTGGTTTTGTATGTGAAATTGCGAGACAAACTTTAATTATGCGTATTGCTCGACTGAGATATCAATGGGACGTAACTTGTAGGGTGTGGAGATGGTGGTATCCAAAGCTGTATGATCAAATTTACTTCCACAAAAATCGTAGTTATTGATTTTTTCTTATAAAATAAATTTATCAGTTTTTGGTGACGTCACACTCAGAATTTTGGTCAACATATGCACCGTCATAAGGTTACATCACCTTTTTCTCCATAAAAAGCGTATAACCTTTCTTGCACATTGATGTTCAGTAGATTACACTTATTGTTAGTACTACCTATAACAGTTAGTAAACGACCGTATTTTCTTTCCAGTAATTTTGATTTGATTTATTTAATATGCTCTATATATGATGATTTAACAGAAACAAATGCACATGAACAGATCAAATCACAAAAGAGCATATCAGGGAACCCTAAAATTGCAAGAAAAGTTAATTATTTCCATAGTATGATTAATTATTTTCATAGTGATTAATTATTTCCATAGTAATTCTAAAGTGAATTATTATTATTATTATTTTAATTACTTTCGAAACTGCTTTTCCATGTGCTCGGCCGTCACAACAATACTGTATGTTCTATCACATATTAATTGGACTTTACTCCACCTAGGCTTACCCCCGATATAGTACTAAGTACAGTAGGCTGGGCAAGAAAATGTGATCATAAAAATTCACCTTTCTTGGTAAAAAAGGGAGAAATATAATGTCTTGGGGTAGACTGGGTCTCTCTATCCAAATCAGTGAAACTGAGTACCATGTGACGCAATGGCCGATTTCAGCATAAAAAACATAATATTAATTCTACCAATCGCAGCTGTGTAAGTTCACCCATCTCCTCTGAAACCGCAGGCAGGAATGTGCTCATATCTCATTAAATGGGGTTTCTATATGTCCCGACCACATTCTGCTACTTTTCAAGGCTGGATATTGGAAAACAACGCAAAGAAAAAGCCAAAAACACTGAGATTCAGTACCTTTTTCGCCATATTTCGCGAGTACACAGCAGTTGTTTTCACAACTTGCGTCAATACTTCCGTGTTGGCCACATCGCCAAATTTCGACACTGCTGGCGTATTCGCCATATTATTATTATTATTGCCGTCTTTGCCACATTACGACATTACTGTGGTATTTGCAACACTTCCATGTGTGGCTCACTCTATGAACGAGGTTGGTACAATCCAGTCACAAAACGATTTGGTATGCTTTATCATTTAAAAATAAAGAACAGAACAATATATGTAGGCCTAACGACCAGGAGGTGCAGATCACTGAACATGCATCCTGCTGTCAAATATTAATTTATGACAGTAATATCATGTGTATGTAGGCCATCAGCTGTAATCATATCGTTCAGTTCTGTCCCAGCAACAGATGGACCAGCTCATTTTTTCGTAAATCATTAGAGTATATATTTAATAGGGCTGAGCAAAAGTTTCTAAAACAGCCTCTCATCCAAACATATATTAATCTTAAAAAAAAAAAAAAAAAAAAAATCATTGCGAGGATTGATCATGTGATTTGATTTGATCAATCCGGAGAAAAAAGATTAAGCTACCATTGAGGGCGCCTTTGACAACAATAAAGATGGCGACCCTCAGGCAGTTGCACGTTCCAACCCCTGGAGGTGGTAAAAAGTCTGTAAAAAAGGCATAGGCCTAAATCCAAAGAATATTTACTGCATAATGCTTTTTGATGATGTTCCATTTAATGGAATACAATCTTTTACGAAGACAAGATGAAATAGATTTATAATATGCGCAAAACAATGGAAAGATTTGCAAGGCCATGAACGTTACTACTACTATCTATCTAGGCCTTAGGCCCGAGTCAGACGTGCGAATTTAATACTATAGTATTGACTAGGCATAGGTGATAGCTTATAAATCGTGCTACAGGCGATTTATGAATAAAGAAGAATCGAATTTGCCAGCAAAAAATACAGAAAGCGTGCACTAGCAGAATCAGAGACAGATGATGGCGATCTTCTGAAACGTTCGCCCAAGAAATCGAAATTGACGTCAGCATCGAGTTTCCCACCTCGAACTAGGCCTACATACATCATCACACACACGAGCTAAATTTTGCATAATATGTAAGAAGTTAAAACGGTTTACTATGGTTCGTCGCAAAGACAAAGGGATAAGCTATCTCGGGCCGAAACAAAAGCTGCAGGTATAGGCCTCTAAAGCTAGGCCTATATAAAAATGTATATTTTAAGCCGGCTTATTAGGACCTAGTGTACTGTAAAGTAATAATATTGGTTTGACAAATAAATATGGCATGATGATATGCATGATTAGAAAGTATAAACCCAAATATACATTAAAATGAATTTTTATATTTTTACTCTTGATTAGGTGTATTATTACAAGCAGCCAAGCTGCAAAAAGCAGAAGAGTCAATTCTCGTGCATCTTCGAGGAGGGAATTGTGTTGCCCTTGAAGTCCACTGTACCATAAATCATGTTATAGGGACTACACAAGGTTTATGTATCAAGTAAAACAGTCTAAAGAAGAGTAAGTACATATTTAACAGCAATTAATTAATATTTGTTTACATGCTTAATGTATTAAGATAGCTAGTTATTTTTACGACTAGAGGAAAGCCAGTTAGCATGTTGGATATCGTCACTCTATTGACGGCAATCCTACTTTTTAAAACAAATTTTAGACTTTAAAAAAAAACATCAAATTGGGATTCATGACGCGGATGCATAGATTATTGAAAATACACATTTTTTTTTTTTTTTTTTGCAATTGGTACCTACAGTAATTTTTATTTTTACAAGATAATACGTTTTTAATTTAGGACTGGCGAGCACACAAGTTCATATGATGTATCATACAAAATATTTCGTAAGACATATTAAACACAGACTGCTGTTTAACCTGGAAGTTCTGCACTTGACAAAGCTTCATCAGTTGTTTATTCGACTTGTCAAGAAACATTAAAGAATTGAAGTTAAAAATTCCAGGTGAGGTTTCTTTTTTGTTTCATTTTAAAAATAATAAATGAATAAATGATTCTAAACTAATCAGGTACTATTACCAGTACTATCAAGTTATTCACATACAAATATAATTCTAAGTTTATCAGTTTTCTCGAATATTGCATCAATCAACTATAATTTCAACAAAACAAAACAATGTAAAGAAACTCATGATTACGTCTTTTAAGATGTGTAGGGAGTAACTGGAGAAACTAATTGATTTTGCTACATCTAGCTCACTGTCAATTAACACAAATATATGTGCTGTATAATAAGAACCATATTGTTTTATGTTTTTCAGACCAGGTCAACTGAAATATAGAATGCAAAACGACTATCCACAGCTCTTGTTTCATTCACTTTATCGCAGGAATGTTATTGTTTTGGTGCTTTCTGACACTATTTCTACACACCACATAGTAGATCAGTTGCCACCTGAAAAGCAATCGACATCAGACAATTTAAGTGGTAGCAGTTCACCAGCTTAACTTGCTGTTGAATATGTATGTACAACAACAGAGGTAGATCAATTCAATTCAATTCAATAAACCTTTAATTTAAAAAGTATAAGAGGTAGAACGAATTTCTACATCTATTTGTTTTACTCACCGGACACCGGAAACGACGCCCATGTTGTAGAAGCTCAAAATCATTAAACATTGCATGATTACTGATTTTGAAGATAGTTTTACTTTGAAATGACAAGGATTGTCTACAAAGTGGGCATTATTGTTCACCAGGCCATTAAAGATGAACCAAGAAATGCTTATGGCCTCCACATTCACATATCTCAATGCAAAAGATATGGTACCAATTGAGCTATATAATTGACTAGCATATTGTATTGGTGTTACAGATGATCTAACATTTGGGAAGTATGTGAGAGAGTACAGTAATTTCAAACTTTTATTGTCAATATGGTTGGCAAGATATCATCTATTTGGTTTCAAGGAAAGAAACAAACCCCATTTTTTGCCTTATATATATTGTTATCTAATTACGTGTTTTAGTCATAATATGTTCAGTATTTATGATATATATATATTATGTTTTTGCCTTATATATTGTTATCTAATTATGTTTTGGTCATAATATGTTCAGTATTTATGATATATATATATTATGTTTTTGCCTTATATATTGTTATCTAATTATGTGTTTTAGTCATAATATGTTCAGTATTTATGATACTGTATATATATTATTTTTTGTATTTTTAACCTTGCAATGAATTTTTTGTCGCCCAGTATTTTGGACAATAAATGAAATCTTAAATCCTACTAGTGCTGAACTATCATTTGAGAACATTGTAACGTTTTATATACACCCTTTTTTTTCGAGTGGAATGCTATTCCAATGTTTGGCCTAATTTGGTACCTAGGATAAGTCACAGTCGGGCCCATACCATCGTACTTAGAATTTTCACATGGCTGCTTCGATATTAGCCAATCTTTTATTCAGAATGTCAATGGAAGTCAGAGCACAGCCTACAACTCTTAAATTTGCTATTGTGACAACAGAATAGCCAATTTAACACTGGAATGGATGCAGTGCTTCCAAGAGTATGTGCGCATGCTCTTCCCACAAATCGGGACCTCCACTGCCGATCGGGTACTGTATTCTATCTATAAGCCTAATCTGAATTGAGAAGAAACTTTGAATTATTATTATTTGAATTGAAATTTGTTAAAATACAGGAATAAAAATTCTTTTAAAGAGAAGACAACCATGCCTGTATTGAAAATGGAATGCATTGTATTTTGACTATAGAACGCAATCTGATTCTGTAGTAGTAGGCTTACGAACTTTTCACCAGGTTCTAGCATCAGTGGTAGGTCTTGAAATGGAAGGGAGCTGATGGTGTTAGGAAGGTAAAGTGGGGGGTTAGTAATTATGAAGGAATAACTCGCAAAATAAGGTGATATAAGGTGATTTTTAATTTTAGTTACTTCAGCATGATTTGTGCGCGGGGGCGCGACTGGAGATGGCGAGTTTTTTTTTTTTTAAGGGGTAGGGGCTGGGGTGGCACCAGCGGGAGGCCGGGGTAGCGCCCCCTGTTGGGGAGAAAAATCTCAATTCTTATTTGTCGGGGAGAAAAAAATATATATATTTTTCATATATTAGTAGACTCTAAAATCGATTAAATAAGCCTTTGAAACCCCTAAAAGTGTCGACATTTTCGGGGGATCTCCCCCATAGACCGTGGGTTGAGGCTCCAAAATCGGCTTAGTTTACGAATTCTTTGACCTACCGATCCGCGCTACTTGGCATTCGCACAAAAATGTCAATACTATTTTATTGAAACATAATATAATTGTCGGCAATCAGCACTTTCATTATCTCTCTGATCATTCACTGGGTATATACATTTAACTACACAACAGTAAACACAAGGTTGAAAGAAGTATATGACAAAAATCTGAACTTTTATATGAATATTATTGAAACACTGTAGCACATTATATACCTACACAGAACTGCTTTAAACATAGCTGAATATAGAGTTCAATCCAATCCACTTATAAACATGTGTTAAATATTACAATTATGTAATATTATCAATGTAACCAACCAGCATAAACAATTTAAAAGAAACTAGAAATAATGAAAGTTTTGCTGTATTCATTATCATTTATCAGCAAGTACTGTTCTGTTATTTTCTTCTTTTCATATTGCATTGTAAAATACAATACAATGCAATTCAAAAAGTCAATGCAAATTTTTATAAAGAAAATAAATGTGTTGTTGATAAATGTTCATACAATCAAAAACCTTAATAATATCTGGTAATATTTCTCAACACAGTGTATGGTATGATGTCATATCAAATACTGTAGATAACAACATTCATACAAACAGTATACAGTTCCAATCTGATAGGACAACAGTACTTTCAATTGATTCATGTTTCTTTCCATGGCCTATAATATGGCCTGAATTGCCACCAAATCCTTATCCCTCATGTAGTGACAAGGCTTCATCCTTATTTGCAATAGCAGCCTCAAGTAATTCCACCACTCAGTGTTTCACATCTTACTACATTCTCAATGGCTTTTGCTCTATTAAAAGTACTTTATATATTATTGTCTTTTTACAAAAAATACACGGGAGAACATGACTTCGACCAGGAAGCACTTCTTTAATTCTTGACTTCAGCTTTCAGGTGTTGCAGAATGAGCATTTGCTTTGGCTGTGGTTCATCAACTTCCATTCACTTGATTCTGTGGTCTATGAAAATTAATTAAACAAACTAATTGAAAGAGCTTATCAATGCTACTGTGATGGTTTTAATGATCAAATATGTATTTAAATTGTTTCTTTTTAATCAAAGGTTGTTTTCCAAAAAAATAAAAAAATAAGTAGTATCAGTATAATACAATATTAAATGCAGGTGGTGATGTTTAATTGGACATCTAAATGTTGATAAATATTATTTGCTTAAGTCAGTTTTGATACCTATTAATTAATATATTTTTTGTTATGTTGTGTCTAAGGATTCCTATGTAGATAAAGCATACTGTACTATTAATATAATAATTTTGTTATATTCTTTTCATGAAGACATTAAAATCAAATTAAGCCTGAATTAGTCTGAGCACAGTCACTGAAGGGCACATCCCCCACCCCAAAAAACTGAATTGATTCAATTTGTGTAGTAATTGTCCTTGGTAGACAGTAGTAAATAGTTGCTATATATTTGTGGATTGATTTGATTTGTCTTCATGGTCAGCTGTTTATGCTGGGTCGATTCATTGCCAACATATTGTCTCAATATGCTTTATTACAATATAACATCATCGTATTTGATTCACAATACTCTGTGGTTATTTTGCTGTCGATAGTAACCCAATTTGAGGAAAAGGCAGGGCTTCCTGTCTGTGTGTGTGGTGTGATAGAGAGACGCTTACTGCTTCTCAATTAAGTAAAACATACCATACCATTTTTAACGTTATATGTAACCACACACGTACCTTTTAACAGACTCGGTGCAATTTTGACTACTACTACTTGCACTACCATCCCTGAGGTAGGCTATTAATCAGCTTCGACGGAAACTTAATAGGCCTTACTGAGGACT